CCAAGACGACCGAATGATCGACTGCGCATAAAGTTGACTGTTAATCGATACAACTCCACGAGAATCGGGGCCGCGTAACACTTGCCGAACTTGCTGACAAAGCAGGCCACTGAGCCAGTTCGGAACTTCGGAAGTAACACTTATGACATAACTTTATGGCGGTTATGCAATGCATTTTGAACTCTCTTTGTGAGGATATAAATGTGAACGACAACTTATGTTGATTGATACTTTATGTTTATGCCTAGTTAAAAAAACCTCCACTAAAATTTTCATTACCGATACAAATTTTCAAAAGAACATTTTTTATATCAGAAATCAACATTTGTGCAACTGAGGTAGAGTATCTAAAACTTAATGAAAATACACTCACTAGCAGTGAGCAGAAATCCGTTTATAAATTACCAAGTAACGGATAATAATTTAAAACTACGTATTTTAGCACGGATCGTCTTTGGCCTCCGACTTGCCTTACATTTAATTACGAAATTGCAGCCGCATCGCATTCTACGGTAATATAGATACTATGCTCATAAATATAAGTTATTGAGTAAGGCAATTGTGTTACGCCATAGTGTGAGACAAGTAATCTGATCTAATTCATTTCCTGAGTATCAACATCGGTTAGTCGCAGTACGTCAGAGATAATACTTACGTAAACACTTTCACTTGAGCTCAGCGGCAGCGCAAACGTCGGCGCTCATTTAGGCACTGCAAAACCGGCAATTTGTGCTAATAATTTCGTTATGACCATTATATTTTGACCCCATTCGGACACGAAATATAAGTTATAGATTTGTATTTTATATATGTTACTTACATGAAAAATTGTTAATTACTAACAAAGAGAGTGTGAATAAAATAAAGAATACATTTAATCCATTAAAAAACTATTTCAAAGACGGTTACAAAAAGTTCTTTTACCACTGGATCAGCAGAGACAGACCTACCGTATCACTGCACTGGCTTAAACTATTGAGTATGTGGATATTCTTGCATAACCTTTGACCAATATCTATAATGACTGTTTTCGAGAGGGTGTCTTTCCTGGGGTATTAAATAGGTCGGTCGTGACGCCAATTCATTAAAGTGGACCTAGGGACATGGTTATAAATTATAGACCGATCTCAATACTCACTTCAATTTCAAAAATATTTGAAAAGATGATTAATAATAGATTAATTAATTATATTAACAGTAAGGACCTGATAGCTGGTACTCAATTTGATTTTCGTAAAGGAAAAAGTAATAATGACGCTGTTTTCTGTGTCACCGAATTTTTTTCAAATTGTTTAGAGAAAAATAAAAAGTGTCTTGCTATTTTTCTAGATATCGCAAAAGCGTCTGATACAGTGTCTATCCCTATACTATTATTTGGAATACGTAGTATCCAGCTAAAACTATTTGATAGTTATTTATCTGATAGATACCAGTATGTAAAAATTGGTCATTACATTATCAATAATGTAAAATTAACTCGCGGTATACGTCAGGGGCGTATACTTGGTCCTACCCTCTTTTTAATTTATATTAATGGTTTTCTCCAATTAAAATTTTCTCAGAGTAAAATTGTATAATACGCTGATGACACTTGTCTGATCTTATATGAAGAGAATTGGAATTCACTTTTCAATAATGAACAGAGTGCACTAAACAATGTAAATAAAAGGCTTATATCAAACAAGCTGTCGATCAATACAAATAAAATCAAGTATACCCAATTTTTCATTAGAGATGCCGTAACCACTTTTAGCGACCATTCAATTGTATATCACAACTGTAAATCTAATTAATTCTATCACATATCTTTGAGCAATAATAGATAAAAATCTAAATTTCGGGAACACATTGAAGCACTTTGCTCAAAATCTAGGCTTCTAAATCTAGGTCTGATGTTTATCTTAAAAATAATCAGACAGATACTACAGCCTTATCAACTTATGCGTGTTTATTATAATCTTTGTCAATCTATTTTTCACTTATTGCGTTTTGAGCTGAGGTGGGGCATCCACATACACATGCACGCACATACTTTCAGCTCATAATTAAATTATATATCTGCAAAAATTACACACATTGTCATAGTAGGAAATTAAATTGTAAATTCTATGGGTTCTATGGGGATTTTAGGGCACTGGCGCTGGAATACAGAACATCTGTTCCTATTTATGCAACAGAGGAGTAATTTGAGTTGTTACCTATTTTTGTAAATTAACTACGTATAATTGTAATATTCCTATTTTAAATAATAAAAATAATTATTATAACTTATTCCCATCAATTCCATGAATGGATCCTAGCTTTTGATAGGGAAGACTAGTGCCTAACTATAGGGACGTTAATAGGTTGGTGATATAATAGACATCAAATAACAGATCTCAATTAATGTCATTTGTAGAATTGATTTTCGAAAATAAATATAAAAATTATAGTGTCACTTATTTTATGTTTAAACTTTAATGGTAAATATGAACGAACAAAAAAAAATATTTTTTTTAACGGTATCTGTGTCATTCCCATCACCATGACCAAATCATAGATAAGTAAAATATGGAAATAATGGATGAGAAAAGAGATTTCTACTTGAATAACATTACAAAGTTGCCTTATCAAACGGTTTCTAAAGTAAAAATAGAAATGCCAATAAAATTTATGACTGCAATATATTTTCAACCTCTGGAAGTTCACACGCGCATTGAATAACCCAATGAATATATTCACTTTCCACCATGGTTTTATATAAGAAAAACAGATTATATTACTTCGAAGACTATATTATTAGGTTTACCTATAACAAACAGTGGTGGGAAAAATTAAAAGTGATAGTTCAATCGCCCATCCGTCACAGCCAAAGTACCTACATATATTCATTCACATATTTTACGGTCCACATTTAGAATGTTAATTTTACTACCAAGGGCAAATATCATATATTTCGAGGTTCAACTTTTTATAAATAAATATAAATTTAAATGCATTAAATCATTTAAATTTATATTTAATGAAAAATTCACTAGTTAAAGAATGTTCAACATTGTTTTTGGTATAATAAAAACGTTTATCGATTTCAAAAATAAAATTAATGAAAGTAAATTCATTTAAATTTTATAAATTAATTGAAATCTTTCAATTATGCATAATATTATTTTAAAGGTTGCTATGTTTGTATCTTGTTACAGCTTTGAATGCAAAAGTGAAGTTAAATAATTTAATTTCCTAAAAAAAAAAAAATATTGTATGCAATATACATTACATTTTGCGTAATTTTATAAGCTGTATTTCTGTATCGAAATGTTAGTTATAGCATTACATGCAAGTTATAGCTTACTTTTCATATAAAATTTTGTAAATAATTAAAGTTACTTTATTTATCGTTTTAAAAAGAAGATGAAGCTATTATGCTTGTATATGTCACCTTGCAATATTTTAAACATAACACTTTTATAGGTATGTAATGAAAATTGTATTAGTAAACATTGAGTAACTTGTTTAATGTATACAAAAATGTTTTAATCTCAGTATTTATAAAAAATATGTATACATAATTATTGTTATATAAATTCATTACGAAAACAGTAATCTTGTAAATGCGTCAAGTCATATCTACTGATTTATATTTTATGACAAAAAACACATTATTATATTTAATTAATTCATGAATATCGTCAGGAACATGTATTATATATAGAAAATGTAATTTTTTTTATTATTAACTTTAAGCGGGATGTGTAGTGTGTATAGGTACTATATGCACATACACACATTCGCCTCTCCTCATTATACAAGCTCAAATTGAGCGTAATAAAAGACATTATAATCGCAGTCAGACTTTCAATCAAACACCCGAACCGACAACACTGGAATAAGGTGGAAGGGAAGTGACATCACGTCATTATTAATTATCGGGAGATGTTGCTAGTTTTCTAATTTCATATTTTCTATGAAATAATATGTTCATTATACTTTTATTATCGTTTTAGTAAAAACATAGTTCAAAATTTCATACCTAGTTTTTGTTTGTTGAACTAAAAAAGTTCTATTTAGATGAATCATTTTTTATTTCAAACAAAAAGATCATGTACATAAACGCACGCGTTCTCAAAAAGCAGTTATTCCTTGTTTTTTTAAACGAATGGTAAACAAGTTATTTGAATTTAGTATCTGTCTTTCAATAGGAAATCCTATGTTAAACAAAGTTGCTCCCATAGAAAGGTGAATATTATGTAGATAAACAGTAAATAGTTTAATCATATATCATTCTGAATGGGTAATAAAGCGGTATTATAGCACTTATATATAATAACAAAATTAACGCCACCTATTGACAATCTAATGAACCAAGGCATTCCTCTCTGAATAATGAATAAGGTTAATCGAAAATCATCAAGTTATGAGAAGATGCCAGTCACTTTTCATATCAATAATAAAAGAATATAATATACATTTTTACTGTGCACGTATACTTCATATTGCTGTTCATTGCAAACGTCAATCAAATGGAAAGTTTTGAATAATGAATCATTAACAACTCCTTCATCTATTTTGACTCTTGAATCACCATAATTTGTACTTTATTGCGTCAGTATAGAGCTTAATTTAGTTGGTATAATAAACAAATGTGCCGAAATAATTTTTCAAAATAAAAAAATATATTCTGTATTATTCTACAGATTATATTTGAATAATATAATTCTTCCTTTAATTATCATCTGAGTTAGTATTATAGTACATTCATCGTATAACTGTAGAAAATTCAAGTCATTGATAAATTTAACTGTTAAGCACAGTTTTTAAGTTTTAGATTTTTACTACAAACTTCTTAATAAAAACTACAAAAATATAAAAGAATAACTCGGAGAGTCAAAATTATTTGGTCGCCTGTAGAAAATTGTTAATGTACAGAATATAGTTAAACCTGTAAAAAAAAATCAATTCCTTATCGTCTCCGTTAATAAGGTCCAGCAGCAGTGGATAGTTTTCACCTGAAATATATCACTGACCTGTGTTAATCCGAGTCTGTAACTGGTGACGTCCAGGTCTAGAGCTAGTAGCATATCATCGACCACCTGCCTGTCAGAGAGAGCGGTCTGAGGTTTGTTCTCGTTCTCGTCGTTGTCTGAAGTTGCCAACAGACGGTACCTAGACGAAACGAGCGACAAATTAGAATATTATAGGTTTTTATTATTTATTTATAGATAACAGGGATGTTTATGTATATGTTATTTCAGATCCGAATACGGATATTTGAGAAATGTATCGGTTACTGTTAACGACTGATGATACTATTTAGCCGTTATTTTTTAAAGAATTTTTAGCAAATAAAAATACGTCTTTTTCTTGTGACATATATTGCAAAAACCAAAGGAATCGATAATGAACAAAAACATTATAAAAATTAAATATAAACCATAAACAAAAATGTATCAAAAAGGTCCCATTCAGGGACATGCTCCCCCTTTTTAAAGAAGTATCAGTTTTTTAAGCGGCCGCCGCATTATGCCCCCCTGGGTACGCACGTCTGCCACCCTAACCACGCCATCACGTCCCGGAAACAGAGCCGCAATAACGCCTCGTGGCCAGGTGCCCCTCGGTAGATTGCCGTCACCAATGAGTACCGGGTCCCCAACCTTAATTGCGACATCTGTACCCGGTACGCGGCGGGGAGCCAGGGTAGGCAGATATTCGCGAACCCACCGACGCCAAAAATGATCGGCCAAGCGTAAGGCCTTCCGCCAACTGCTTCTGCCCACCAACGCTGCGTCTGTGATCTCTTCATTAGGAAAAGTACGGCCCGAAGAATCTCCTATGAGGAAATGATTTGGCGTGAGAGCCTCCGGGTAGTCAGCGTCTGGTGATACGTGGGTTAGCGGCCGTGCGTTCACAACTGCCTCAGCTTCAGCCAGCAAAGTTGCCAAAACCTCTTCCCGTGGTGCCCGCTCCTTCAATGTTACCTTCAGGGCAGACTTGACACTCCTGACCAGTCGCTCCCAAGCCCCTCCCATGAAAGGCGCGGAAGGGGGAATGAAGTGCCAGGAGATTTTCTTGTCACCTACGAAGTCTGACACCAGTGGATTGAAAAGGGTTCTAAGCTCTCGGTTGGCGCCAATGAATGAAGTCCCGTTGTCGGAGTAGATGGTACTGGGAGAACCTCGACGAGCGATGAACCGACGTAAGCACATGATAGCAGAGTCTGCGGACAAGCTGGCAACGATCTCAAGGTGGACTGCCCGAGTAACGAGGCAGGTAAATAATGCTATCCATCTCTTCTCCCGCCTGCGCCCAATAGCGACCATCATAGGCCCGAAATAGTCAAGCCCAGTGTGAGTGAATGGGCGCTGGTTATGTGCAAGCCGTACATCGGGTAAGTCTGCCATTGGTGGTTGAAGCGCTGGTGCCTTGAGCATCTTGCATTGTTGGCAGCCGCGAACTATCGAGCGAACTGCGTTTCTTAAACCGAGAATCCAATATTCCTGACGCAACTCGTTGATGATGGTTTCTGTATTGGCATGAGCAAATTTTTGATGGTAACGATGTATGAGGAGCCTGGTTACTAAATCTTTGCCGTCAAGGATTATAGGCTGAATGTTAGAAACTGCTGATGTTCCTCCGGCAAGGTGCAGCAGACCGTCTTTAAGTACCGGAGATAATATGGTGAGCCGACTTTTGCTAGAGATAGGTCGCTTATGTTGGAGACTATGGACTTCTTCTTTAAAGGTGTTCAGCTGACTCCACCCCAAAAGGTGCCGTTCTGCTCGTACGATATCTTCGGCCGTTAATGGTGCAGAAGCAGTGGTAGCGGTGGTAGTAGAAGAAAAAATAGTCTTATGCGCAACCTCATTATTATATAAGCATATATCCCTCACCCAAAAATTATGAAAGGAATGGCTCCTATTTTTAAATAAAAATGCAATGAAACGATGGAGTCTTGCAGTTGCCCTTACCAGTCTAATCCACGAGCTAAAATGAGGAATGTTTGCTACTACTGGTACGGGTAACTGGTACGAATATGTAACGTTGATGGATTCGATGATGGATGAACTATTTGATGGTGACTGATGACGCATTGATGGCTTGATTTCCTCCTGACCCATAATTGATGAAGTGGATATTTGAGGCTCCATTGGCCACTCGTGGATAGGGGTCAAAAGAAAACTTGGGCCTAACAACCAGCGCGACTCAATGCAACACTTCCCCCTAGTGGCGTCGTCTGCGATGTTCATGTCACTAGGTAGCCAACGCCATTCGCTCACGTTGGTATTTTCTATAATTTCGCCAATGCGATGCGCCACAAATGGCTTGTAATTTCTGGCATCGCTTCTTAACCATCCCAGCACAGTCATAGAGTCGCACCAGAAGAAGCGGCGACTGGAAATGAACCGGTGAGTCTCGCAAATTGTGGTGGCAAGACGAGAGGCTATCAGCGCACCTTGTAGCTCTAGACGCGGTATCGAAGCGGGCTTAAGTGGCGAAACACGTGCCTTGCTAGCTATAAGCATGACCCTAACTTCTCCAGAAGGAAGAATAAACCGCCAATATGCAACGGCTGCATGAGCTAATTCACTAACGTCACAAAACACGTGTAACTCCACCACAATGTAGTCGCTCAGACAGTAACAACGTGGCACCTGTAAGTCGACAATAGAACGGAGACTGTCAAACCATTCACGCCAAATAAGTTGGTCTGCCTCTGTTAGCTGCTCGTCCCACTCAATATTTTTACGCCACAAAGTTTGGAATAAAATCCGACCTCTCACTACGATGGGGGCTAAAATACCAAGCGGGTCATAAATGCGCATGATTTGAGATAAAATTTCTCGTTTAGTTAGCTGAGTTGATGTCATATCTCTAAGTTCTATGTTGAAACCTAATGTGTCTAAACTAGGTCGCCATATAAGACCTAGTGTACGGATGAATGTCGGCAACTGAAAACTACCTAAATTTACACTATTATTTAGAACTGAGACGTCAGATAATGTCTCTTTTGGCAGCTGACTTAAAGCCTCAGGCATATTAGAGACCCATCCACGCATCTCGAAACCGCCGTGCTTGTGGATTTTAAAAACATCAGCGGCCAAACGAGCTGCATTATCTACGGAATTACAGACACTTTCTATAAAATCGTCCATGTATGTATTTGTCCGGATCGCGTGTACAGCCTCCGGAAATTCGGCTTGGAATTCTGATGCGTTTCTATTTAAAACGTAAATAGCAGTGGAAGGACTGGAACAGGCGCCAAACATCATGGAAGACATACGGTAAACTTTAATCAGACCTGTAGGGTTCTCGCGCCAAATAAAACGCTGGGCGTCCCTGTCCTGTTCACGAATCTTCACCTGCGGGAACATCTCCTTAATATCCGCGGTTAAGGCTATCTTCCCCTCCCTAAAACGCATCAGGATACCAAGCAGAGGCTGTAAAAGGTCCGGTCCAGTCAGAAGCATGGAATTCAAGGATACGCCGTGAATTTTCGCGGCGGCGTCGTGCACAACGCGGAGCTTGCCGGGCTTGTTGGGATTTACCACACCAAAATGAGGCAAATACCAACAAACTGATTGCGGCGCAACTCCAGTGCATTCCTCGGCGTAGCCTTTATTGATCATGTCCTGAATATTTTGACAGTACCGCAACGCGTAATCAGCATCCCTTGACATCTTCTTTTCGAGAGTTTTAAATCTAGAAAATGCCAACGGATAGCTATCAGGTACCTCGGGGTACTCCATTTTCCACAACAGACCGGCTTCGAAACGCCCATCTGCCCGCCGTCGAACCGTTTGATCAAGAATCTCAAGAGCGCGCTTATCATCAGCACTCCTTGGCTCGTGTTTTGAAATACCGATCGAATCCAATCTATATTGTTGTTTGATGAGGGCTTCTAAGTCGTGCCGCGGGTCATCACCTTGGCGCTCGGACACCGTGTAAGTGAAGTCTGTAACCCTAGTTCTGCTACTTGAAAATCCGAACAACACCCATCCAAGGGGAGTACGTATGGCGACTGGCTGCGATCTAGTACCCTTCCTAATATCGGTCGCAGTTATGAGGTGCCAGTTATCGATGCCAATGATGAGTGTTGGCTTAGCTTCGTCGTAGCATAGCTTATCAACTAAATCCGCTAAGTAAGAATAAGAACATACTGTATCGCGAGTAACCGATTGATTAAGTAACCCTAAGTTAGAGATAGAGCGTGCGCCCTTTATAGCAAAAGTTTGAGTTGTGAAACGACCCTTAATTTGAAAATCTATATATTGCACAGCACTATCTCTCGATAGACCACCTACGCAGTCTAAATGTACACGTCCTTCGGGGCCTTCGGCTCCTATTTGTGAGGCTATGCTAGAATCGATGAAAGTCGCTGTCGAACCATCGTCCAATAGAGCAAATGTGTCTACGCTACCAGCCGGGCCGGACACCGTGACTGCCACTATTTTTAATAAAGGACGCTGTGACGGATTAACAAAGATTGAAGTAGTGTTAATATTTACCTGGTCTGTATTGTTTGATGTTGGAGGCACAGAGACATCATTAGATTGTGTATTAGACTCGTTTGTGTGTGCCGCCAAAACAAAATTTGAGTTGTGCAGAAGTGTATGATGCTTACGATTACACTCCGCTATTGTGCAACCATCCTTATTTTTATTACAAAACTTAAAACTATGTGGAACTTTTTGAAGACAACGATAACAGATTTTATTTTCTTTGATAAAATGCCACCTGTCATCGATTGTCAAAGATGAAAAATTTTGACAATTTGACAAATTATGTTTGTTTTTACAAAGTAAACAAATTTTCTGGTCAACTGAATTATTTGACGATTTACGCTTGGGAATTTTTGGGTTCGATCCTAAGTTCGATTCCAAAACCGCATGCAATCTCTGGTTGTGAGCAGGGCCTGCACGAATTTTTGGGTTCGATCCTAAGTTCGATTCCAAAACCGCATGCAATCTCTGGTTGTGAGCAGGGCCTGCACTAAAATCAGTTATCGTGCCAAATCTCAACACAAAGTCTACCTCACGAGTAAGGAAATGTGAAAGCATTTCAACTCTAGCCCACCCCGTCATTTCATGTTTTTCAGCAAAGTCAAACCAACGTGTACGTAATAGTGGAGATAACTTACTAAGCAATGCGCCGAACAACTCCGGTGAACGCAAATAATCGCTATGTTTTAATAAATTGGCAACTTCTACACAATTTCGTACACGTGTGGCGAAAACATTTAAATCCTTAACATCAGGTCCAACCTTGGGCAAGGCTCTCACCGCGCTGACCTCTTGTAACACGATTTGCTCAGGCCTGCCGAAGCGGCGATCTAAAGCGTCAATGACGTCGTTGGCTCGGTGAGCCATCACCAATAACATACTTACTGCATCGCGCGCTATGCCTCTTAGAGATTGATTCAGGCGTGCGAGATTATCTAATTCCGAATATGATCCTGCAGAATCCTGAAAAGCACGTTTAAAGGAAAGCCAATCCAATGGAGATTTTCCATCGAAAATTGGCAGATTAATTGAACATTTATTGTTAATAGGACCGCTATTTTTGCTAAAAGATTTCAGGGCTTCAATAAGTTTTCCGACGGTGTTATCCTCTCTCTGAATATTAATGGCAGTGGCCCTGTCACCTCCGCAGGAATTGGGCTGAGGCAACTGTGTAGGACTCGGTACTGCAATATTGGGCGAAAAAATAACATTACCACCTTGTGGAAACTCCTGAGAACACAAAAATAGATGATTATTGGTCCCTACCTGACGTCCATCATTGTTGGACTTTAAAAAATGTTTGACGAGGGATGGCTCTCCGTCACGATGTGATGTGACAGAGGGAGCGATATTGCCTAGCCATTGCTCGATATCGGCACGATTCCTCTCACTGCGACGTGATCCGCGATCACTATACTCTGCCTCGATTGCCGCTAGCTCAGCCTGATGTTCGGCCTCAGCAGCTTCTATTTGTGCGCGCATAGCGGTCATCTCCAATTGAGCGAGATAACGTTTATGCTGTGCCTCCGCTGCGAGTTTTCTCGCGGTAACTGTAGCGAAAGAGCGACTTGTGCGTGTGGTTGCTACCGACTGTGATGTGTGTGAGCGGATGTCAAACGGTACCTGATGTTCCTCCGCGGGCTGTGTTGCGGCTACTTCAGTATTTGATGCTTGGCCATCAGACATATTTTCTTGCAGTTTACTATTACCATTTATTACCATTATGATTGATGCTGGTTCGAATAATATATGCGAAAGGACCACTTGTAAACGACTGATAATACTATTTAGCCGTTATTTTTTAAAGAATTTTTAGCAAATAAAAATACGTCTTTTTCTTGTGACATATATTGCAAAAAACCAAAGGAATCGATAATGAACAAAAACATTATAAAAATTAAATATAAACCATAAACAAAAATGTATCAAAAAGGTCCCATTCAGGGACAGTTACGAATATGTTTTTTTAGTGCTGCCGTCAAAACAAGTTAAAATGCGGTACTGCGGCATAAAATACATTTATATTTGATTCATTGGGAAATATTTCAAATTGTAATATTCAATTTGTTATCTAATACAAACAGTGTAGGAAGGTACATTGACAAAAACCTACCATTGACCTCCGGTTACAGTCTTCCGATGTTAATAGGTAAAAAGGGGACTTAATTATAATTTACAGTCAAGAACACAAAATTAAAATTTGTGCAATAATTTCATTTTTATTTTGTATACATTAAATGACGCGAACATATGTTTTTAAGCGCAAAAATCTAAAAGGATGGATCAATTCCATTTTATTACATCAATAGAAGCGGCCAATATAGAAATGGAGCGTGTAGTGAGTTAACTTAAACCGTTTGGCAAAATATACTGTTGAGACTTATAAAATATCCTCAACCAATACGGAGTTTACTAGGGCAACTAACAGAAATATTATAAAGACTATAAATTTTAATAGTAAAACTACGACAATAACGTACCTCCTTGAGAACTCAGACAGTGGCATATGTTCTGGGAATCCTTGCTTGTACAATCGAGCGGCATCGAGCAGTTGAAATCCACGGAACTGTTGATAAAACAAAGTAACAATAAAGTGGGATAACAGTATTCACGTTATATCAAATGTCATTGCAGTCGAGATAAGAGAGATGACTAATAAGTTAATTATTAAGATTCCGACAGTACAATTTCTCTTTTAATCTTTATTGTTTATACAATTAGTATTGTTTATAATGTCATTAATCGTACTAAGTTCAACATCCATACAGAAACACAACGTGTTGCTACAAATGGTATTTATACAATCAATTTTGAATTTAAATTCACCACTTTAGCGGCTAGAATCGCTTGGAGTTTAACCTTTTGAAAAGCACTGATGTGCTCCAAAATTTACTTTAATAAATTTGTAAATATAACTCTTTTGAATCGCAATGAATAGGTATCATTTATAAGGTAATAGGGATGAAGAAATTAAAAAAGAAAATGAAATTCTATTTAGTCAGATAATAGAAAAATATTAGATACGTATTTTTTACTTCAATTTAAAGAATAAATGGCTAAGATAATAGTCATTAAAGTTCTTCGCTATGTTACAGTTTTATAGAAAATGTACAAAAGCGTGACGTCATACGACATTTCAACTCGATGTATCGCCATAATTAATAGATTACTCAAAAAATTAAAATAAAATATAACTTCTTAAACTTGAAATATTTTTATATTTTATAATTATCAAAATGGACATTGGATAATAGAAAAGATATCAATCGTTAGCACAGCGACATGACAGTTCTAATATTAACATTTATTGATAAAACAATTCTAATGATCTTATGTCCAAGAGGCGAGATATAGTATGAAATATTTTAATAGTGTAATAAAATAAACTCAATAATTTTACGATTTGAGTTGAAAAATATAGACCTCATTTTTCTAAACACGAATATGTACTAAGTCAGTTTGTCTAAAATTTCGAGTTATTGCACTTATTATTATATTTTTGCATTCGCTATGGATCCACCACAAAGTTGATTTTTTAAGCATTTTTAATTAAAAATATTTTTGCAGCTGTCTTAAAGACGGCACATTTGGTTATTTTCCTCTACTTTAAAGTACATATTGATTTCCTCATTTGTGCCACTTTCAGACTCCTTGCATACTCTATCTATTCTCGTCATTCCATTCATCCATATCCGGTGCATGCAATTTTATTTTACTCATCTTCAGCCTATTATTCTGGCTTTTCACTACAGCCCTTGTTACGGCTTTGTCAATTATGCCCTTCAAATGGAAGACTGGTAAGGTAACTACCATTTAGATTTGATTGAGATGAGACCATTCATCTCCACCAGTCAACACTATTTGTCTGGAATGGCTTTTTGCATCAACCTATTGAAGAAAAAAGGTCAATCATTTTAACTACTAACATTTTTATGTTAGTTAAAATGATTGTTTAAATTGTATATTTTGATAAAATTGACGATCTCTAAAGAATGCAGTGATCAACTGTCCTCAGTTTGCCAGCTGTCAAGCAGCTCGTAGTGTGAACTAGACATTAAGAGGATGCTTACAACGGAAATCATTAACTTTCAATTTGCTTTCTACAAAGAAATAACGTCCAAATAAGCTGTAATTCAAAGTGAGAAAACTTCATCATATTCCCAAAGTTCTAGGGAAAATTGATAACAATGTAACATTGTAACTAATCATGCAGACCATTTACATTAAGTATTCATTAAAAAAAAAAAATTGCCGCGCTATTCTATATCCTCTGTCCGTACTACGTCCGCCAATGAGATAGACAAGGACAGTATGTTTTACGTTATGCTTTTTTAAACACATACCTGTGACCTCAACAGGGGTAAGTTGACGTCGTCCTGCGTTTCTGACGGCTGATTGGTCAACATGCAACAGACGAACTGTACGCCGCCTGCGCCGCAACGTCGCAGCGTGTCCACAACACCGTCCGCAACAAACTTCGCTTGTAACGCTGTAGAGCGACGCTTCATGCCAGCTGTACCTATTGCGCAAGCAATTTAAATATATATCTAATTAGAAGCGACGTCATTATGTATAAAAAACAGAAACATTACGCGAATTCTTATTCTTTGGTTTATACTAAATTAACCCTGTTTATTATCGCTACTTACACACTTTGGTGAACACATACATATATTCTTGCATAAGAGTTGGATTATTTGATGCGTTTAAAGAATTTCTCTGTGAAATTTGAGTGATACTTCTAACATTTTATATAATTTCCTTTTTGTTGTTGTTTATAATTATCATTTCTAAAATAACAATGACTGGTTCTCGATAACTTAATTAGGCTGATTGAATTAATTAGAGAGAGTTGGGAGGGGGGGATCGCAAGTAAAGGCGATTGTTATAATACGATTTAAAAAAAGTTTAAGGGGGTTCGAAAATCCCTAAACAAATAATAACGAAAAAAGTTGCATTCGCAGGGCGGAATATATTGTGGAACATTTTTAAACTTTAGATTATAATCAAAAAGAGATACCAAATTGTTTTTATGGGTGAATAAAAAATCTAATAATGGGAAAGATCATGAGTATCTAATAAAAATAATAACCAAAATTCTTATAACGTTAAAGTTAAAGTTTATATTGAAATTAAAAAAGCAATTAACCTGTCGATATTTCAATTTCGTTGAAATTGTAACTATACATATTTTTATCAATTAAGAACGAATAATTTATATAACTCAGTGATAAAATAAAACAAAGTTAATTAAACAACTTTTACGTGCGTAATTGTCGATTAATGCGCAATATTAAAATTTTACGAGTATTTTATATGAAAAAACACTGCTACATAATTTCGGACTGCTACATAGCTACATAGTTTCGGACGGGTGTTGATATAATTGAAAAGGCGGTTTTGCTTGCCTTTGTCAATATATTTCAATTTCAAAATAGTCATTCCAAACAAAGCGTTCAAGTAAAGAAATGTAGAGGTCTTCTATTTAAGTGATATTTTAACTTTAAATAAAATAGACCTAAATGGGTCCTGTTGTTCTACCGCGTAACTGAAGCTCTGAATTCTATTTCAGATAGATCAAATCGGCTGTTGACCAAAATTAAACACGGAATATGCCATTTTATCTCATTTTTGTACGTTTGAAAAACCACTTTACCAAATTTTAGTACATTTTAAGTGTATTACTAACTTAATTAGGACCGATTAAGGTGGGCCATTAAATGTTTTTTAAACAGTTAATTAAAATAGCGTATCTGTCAAGGTAATTTTCGTGTTTACAAGATTTTAGAATCGGAATGGCGCCATTATGTTCTGTTGTGTTCTTCTCAGTACAAGATCTCCCGTCATAGATTTAGCTTTCGACTTTCACTAATGTCCGAGACAGTATAAATGATATTGAATGAAAACTTTGAATTTACAATGCAAAGTTATGTTAATAAATGGTAATGATAGATGTAAAACGTACCTGACGTAAGTGTTCGCCTGATGGAGGAGGCGCGTCGTAGTGTGGACGCGTCGCCGACGGCCGCTGACCACGCGCCAACGCCGCACGCGCCGCGCGCCCACGACGACAAACGACATATCTCCTCACTAAAAACGACAAATCTCCTTACTACAAACGACAAATCTCCTCACTACAAACGACAAATCTCCTCACTACAAACGACAAATCTCCTTACTACAAACGACAAATCTCATTACAAACGACAATTCTCCTCACTACAAACGACAAATCCCCTCACTACAAATGACAAATCTCCTCACTGCAAACGACATTTATGTTACTTCAGTGGGCTAAAGTTTCAATACTAGTAATAATTAAAAACAACTGAAATATGGAGCGATGCTTGTATTCTGATATTAAAGCATTGGTAAATTTAACGTCTTTTACGGTATATTTCCCACGAGTGCTCAAAATATTAATAAAACAATTGGGATATTATAAAATGCCATAGACATATTCACTAGTAAATCTATTTTACTGGTTGTGGTTGTGTTGTCCCATTATTGGTAACACCAAATCGGCAAGAAAACAAACTTTTAATCCTACATAAATAACGAGATTTAATTACATTTTTATTTCGTAACAAATTATTTGATAAAATGGTTACTTACTTTTGACTTTCTTGTAGAAGTGTAAGCGCCTTCTTGGTAACTGGACTCTCGCGGCTTGCCTTTACCCAGCCAGTGACGTCATATAATACCGGGTTGGTGCCCTATACAAGTTAACTAGATTAAAATAAAAAAAAGCGTTCCTAAGGAATCGTTTAGTGTAATAAAAAGTAGACTATATATTAATTCAGGCTTAGAATTATCCTTATACCAAATATCAGTAGTTTTTTCGTGAAAGACTAACAACCATACACACATCCTCATAAACTTTCGCATTTATAATACTAATAGGATAACCAAATCACGCAATGAACTTGTTTGTGCTTTCGGGCCATTACAAATTTTATTTAATTCATACACGTTTCGTTCTGACGACACACAAAAAGCCATCTGGTTACATTTCACATTTCACATTCGTCAACCAAATCAATTGTGAAGAATTTAAAACGTACGATCTATTTCGGCCTTTTAACATCAACTGACTGATGTCGACAATAAATTTTGAAGTATGTACTGTCGACAACACATCGTCACATCGATGTTTTTCAAATTTATGTAATTGACATTCAACCTTAATTAAATAAATATTAGCTTAAAATCGTATAGTGGAAGTTTGACATCCTATAGTAACCTGACATACTTGTGTGTGCATTATGAATTGATATTATTCAATACAATCTAAGTCATGGCTTGCGTCACTGAATATGAATGAAACAAAAGACGGTTTATGAATAAGTGACGTCACCTGCAAGTGTTGTAAGACGAATTGCCGCGCGTGCGGCGCCTTCTTGATTAGATGCTGCGTATGATTCGGCGTACCGTAATACGCTAATACTCGTTCGAGAAATGTATCGTCCGAAGAACCTGGATACATGGATTCCTCGTCTAGAAGCCTTAAAAGGAAAAATAATGTTACATACTGTCTACGCTACGAAAATCTTGCTAACGGTGCTCTATGAAGACTTTTTCCCCGTATATAATATCCGGGTACTACTTTCGATCATACGCAATAATAATTATCAAGTTGTTTGTCTTTTCCAATGCTAAAAATTGACAGTGAAAGAAACATAGTCTGTGATATTTTACCATAGCAACCCTCTTCGGTCACACTCGCGTAGATCAGCCTGTGAGCTGCGCACAATAGTGTTTTGTGGCGCTTTGTCTAAGAGTTCCACCATCGGACCAGGATTTACGGTTTCTGATAGCCAATCTGTCAACAACAAATATGACAACGCTAATTTTATTTTATATGGACGGATTACAAAACACGCAAGTTTCTGCGAATTATTCATGATTCAAATATCCTATTCAATACTGACCTTCATCGGTGCCGTCGTCGAGAGTAATGCCCTCTTGTGAATAACGCTCTCTAGGTGCAACGAGCATAGCATCGTGGAAAACTGCTTGAAGACGTTCCTGTTACAGAAAGCATTAATCAAATAAATATATAGTAACAATTTATAAATTACTTAACAAATTAAGTAGTTAAAGCGATTATATTATGAAAATCTGAAACACTGACAAGACGATATAGAAAACTTAATTTCATCTACATTAATATAAAATGAGAATCGAACCCGCAACCTCAATACCTTGAAACCGACGTGGAGCTACTCGATCGTGGAATTTATATTTTTGCGGAATACTAGATGCAAAAGTCCAACTCGCCCTCGGCCATTTTTTAGTTTCTACGTAAGATTTACGAAACGGCTTATTCACGCGTGCCACCGCTGCCTTTACAATGTCTGTGTCAGCTTTCGCTCGACAAGTAATGAATTTCAGACAATATAATAATATCATAATCATAAAAGTTGCGCTTGCAGCTGTCTCTGACGGCTTTGTAGTGCCGCGCTCTTTGTATGAATATACCATAGGAGTGTTATGGCTGATTTACATGTGATTAAATATAAAGTGGATTATTAACTTAATTTGAAGTGATTAAATACGTGTAAATACATAAATAAATCATAGGTAGCAATTTAAAATTTAAGCTTAATAAGAATTAAATTTTAACTGGCTATTAATTACCTGGTACTAATTATCTATTCTTAATGAAAAATGGTTAAAAATCCACTTGGTTCCTGGCACCCTGAGATAGGATTCGAACCTTTCGCAAGCCGGGCGACTGTTCTAACCACCACCCAGGACCTAACATGACTGACGCATCTTTCAAGCACTTGTTACTTTTCCGCTACGATAGAGCGTATTCTCATCAATGTTCATGCAATCCACCCAAATAGCTTAAAGAAATATTTTTACAAATATTTAAACTTTCGATAAAGAAATTCTTATTATTATATTTGACCAATTTCGCATTGACAATGCTAAACTGAAAAATATGCTCAATCGAAAATGCATTTTTCATTAATAAATATATTCCATTCAAATATAATAATCTACTTATCTACTTAATCACTTGTACACCAGCCACTAGTGAGCAACATACCTGCAGGTAGTTGGAGAGCAGTTTAGACAGCGGCGCGCCGCTCTGTTGGCCGGCGCACATCGGGTTGTCGGCGCCGGGCGCGTCCAGCAGCAGCACCGACGACGACGTGCGACACGTGCTCGATAAACTCCTGATTAATCATAATAATTGCTTAATTAATTCGTAGTTTCACCAAAAATTGCTAAAAATACTTATCATCATTAGCCCTTTTAGGCTACCCTTATTGATGGTTAAGGAGGATGGGCAATGACCCTCCACGCTGACCCAATGTGGCTTGGAGGTTACGTGCCTTGGAGGGACCGATGGCTGCGTGCCTTCCGAAGCACAGAGTAGCTCAAGATAATATTTTTTTAAGTCACCTATTCCATGATCGACCCGCGCGAAAGTTGCTTGACAAGAACGATAGCGTGCTACGGCGCTTATCCATTACGCCACTGAGCCACTAAAAATACTTATCACGCTAAACGCCATGGGGGTCACCGGTGACCTCACCCTTCCTCTATCATAGCGCCATGGGGGTCACCGGTGACCTCAACGTATAGTCATATTCAAACTACTTTTTCTCGCCGCCGGCCATACTGACTGTTACTTTATTCGTACTCCGTGACCGGCACGGCGCTGTAGAACTATACTGCGCAGTGGGACAAACATATCTTGTCAGGAATTGAAAAAATGAAAGATAGCGAAAAAAGTAACCAAAATAAAAATTCAGGATATATAATTCAAATTAGTCTTTATTATTTAACTATTCAATAAGAAAATGATGACAGCTAAGATAGTAGCAACGTAATTGATCTAGTAACACACGTTCTATCACCGTAAGCGCGAGCGCACTACTGGTGTAGCGGGTGGCCGGCGGGGTGGCCGGCGCGGCGCCGGGTACCGGAAAATATATTTTCTGTATTTGTGCGCCATGGGGTGCACCGGTGACCTCAGCTATGTATTTGACTGTAACTATGTAACCCATGTACAGAATTGAATAAAACTTATTTTCTATACGTATCGTAACATAATAAACAAATTACGACCAAAAGTATTTTTACGATTTTTATTTTTTTCTATCGGCGTTTAACGTGTTATGGAGCAAATATATAGGTTGCCGCTTCGTAACATTCTCTATGAAGCGGCATCCAATATATCTTCTGTATAGTGAGTGAAATTGACACGTAATGCTTTGTATTTTACACCATATTATTGTGTGTTCAGTGTTTGTCAACATTTGGTAGGTCTACTTCGCGCAAGCGAATATTTATCGTACGCTATAGTTGGCAATTGTTGAATAATATCATAATCACTGATCACGGAAGAGCCTCAAATTACCGTAGGAGTGCAAATTTTATAACTGTATTTTAGCCTCTTTGCAGAAATTTTGCAGTATAAGTGCAAAACGCGAATAACAATAAAAGGGCATTATATTATGGTTGCATACCTGTTAACGAGGGCAGCGATAATATTGAACGTTTCGTTGTATAGACCGGTCACGAAAGCGTCCAGAGCTTCCGCGCCAGATATTTCCCTCTCGTTGGACGGTGATGGGGTTCTGAAACAAAGATATACATATCATGCCAAGCGGTTTCACCTCTAAAGTGTAGAAGAAATTTAAAAGAGCTGGAATATTATGAATTAACATTATGTCATAATTATCATTGTTATAGATTTAATTTTTAATTATATGCATGTATTTTAGGATGTTTTTCAATAATCAATTTTAATTTAATTCAATAATTTTCACTTCCAAAGAATTAAATTTTGAAAAAATATATAATTTCAGTGATTCATCTATGTATCAAGGTACGTATACGTATTTATATATGAATGTATGTATGTTTATATTCGCTGTCTATGTGTAAATTTATTTATATTTTTTGGTATGTTATAATATGTTGTAGTATGTATATGATTACTTTAGTATTAGTTGTTGTAGTTTTATTTAAATTTTTATTGCTCTGTAACGCCATCTCGTTTGTCTATTTCTTAAAGGTTGACTGGGAGGAGAATGTTATTAGCATTAAGTCCTCCTTTTGTACTATTTATATTGGTCAATAAAGTTCAATTAATAAATAAATTCATTTATAAATAAATAGGTATGTTCATTCAATAATCAAAAGAAATGTTTTTAAAATAAAAATACATCACAGCAAAATTTTAAAGCAACCGCGATATTGGTTTGAATAGAATAGAATAATCTTTGATTGACACCTATATAAATTACAAAGAAAGAAAAATAGATGATGGTACCCAAGTTGGCGGTCGACAGACAGGAATGCAGATTACAATTCAGAAGTGTAGTTCGATACTAAAATATGAAGTTAAAATTACACACAACACTATTAAAATTACATACATTATATCTGTAGAAATAAGGTGTTAATGATCCTTCCCGCGAGGCCAACTTATGAGGGAAAGTAGAAATCTCTATTTCTCTCTCCGTCCATGCTAGAATTAACTTTGATAAGCAATCCGATATCAAAATATCCCGGATATCAGTGTAGTCATTCGGGATACGAGCTGAGACCACGGTCCATTCGCTGTAGATTAGTATACGTGTATGTGTGAAGAAAAATTTACGTGAAGTCTGTTTTTTAATCTCACGAAACTAATTAGAGACATGCAGATGTCAATTTAGTCTATGAGATAAAAAAACAGACAGAAATTTAGAAATAATGATATAGCTTTTTTGAGTAGTGTTGACCTACGATACCGGTTTTGACAAAATCGATCATTTTTACCGGTATTAAAGATAATCATAGTAATAAAAAACATTGGTCATGATAAATAACCACTTTTGACATCTATTAATTCTTCACTAAATAAGGTAACTAACTACTAACTAAATAGTAAGGTGTGACGCTTAAATGTTCGTTTTAATTAAATTAATTGATGATGGTTCTAAAATAATTAGTTGTTATTGGTCGATTATTAATATCAATTCATTATATGATTATAATAAAATACTATGTCACCTGCTTATGATGAAGCTTTATGTAGGTGAAAGAATTTTTAAAATCGATCCAGTAGTTCCAAAGTCATTCAAAGCAAATAGTTTCACAGCCAAATCAAATGTAGTCTTTACAATTATCATTTATACAGAACATAAAAGATTACTAACATGAGTTTACAAGTTGTTAATAAAATTATTCATGGAAATTGACTTTTTAAATAGTCTGTACCGTGATTACCGTACTATTATTTACTTCTTAAATGGGTACAGGCGTAGTACGTTTAATCAGAGGCTTGCAAAAGTGCGGTTATCTAGTATACTTTTCGTTTAAAGTCCGGTTGAGGCACATCACTATTTAAAAAATGCAAAGACTTGGCAATACAGTAAATGTCAATTTAGTCTCTGAGATTAAAAAAACAGACTTTAGGAAGGCTTACATCTTTCATAAATTGGCAACTGAATGTTAATGGAAAGGTTTTTTAAATCTTTTTTTTTTATTGTTATTAAATAAAGGAAAAATTGGTCATGTGACATTCCGGCCAATGACGTCCATTTCAATTAACACGGGTACTGGTGACACTAGCAACAAAGACGGTGAAGTTTATTTTATTGAAAGTGTCTTCACACGATGCTTTGTCAGATCTTGAAACCCGCAGATTCTAAATCGCAAATTAATTTTGCTAAAATAAACTATACTTCTCATTTATTTTAGAACTTACACAAGTTACCATTTCCAACATATTTAATAATTTAATGCTATAACTGTCATGTTAATTAGCCAATTATTGACCACGTGACTGGGAAATCCAAAGGTCCCTTTTGGGTCGGACAAGATTTTCTCAACATCATATCAATACGTGTATATTCACCACATACCTCAAGTTGTTAGCAGACTGTGGAGAACTCGGTGCCGCTCCAGAGAATATGGCGCGAGCCAGTTCATCAGCTCCCACGCCGAGCAAACGTGCCGCTCTCTGGCCGCAACCGGTACTTGTGAATTGATACTTTAGACCAGACGCTGTCGTTGCTGCGAGATAATTAAAAGAAACTCCTATTGTATGATGATATGACATCGACGTTAAGAATGATAAAAGTAACTCGTTACAGAGTACATGACAGAATTACGCTTAAAAGCGATGCAGCCAACCAGTGGTCATATTTATAGCTCATTACCAGCCCTTTTACGTCCCCACTGCAGGGGCTCAGGCCTTCCTTATGGATGGTTAAGGAGGATGGGCCATGACCCTCCACGCTGGCCCAATGCGGATTGGAGGGTATTGACGACTGCAAATGCAGCCGGGACCAACGGCTTAACGTGCCTACCGAAGCACGGAGTAGCTCGAGATAATAATTTTTTGGTCACCCATCCCGTGACCAACCCTTGCGAAAGTTGCTTAACGACTACGATCGCTGGCCGCGGCGCTTATCCACTACGCCACCGAGCTACTATTTATAGCTATAGCCCAAAAATATGCAAATATAGATTTGATCCTTCAAAGCAAATTATGACTTTCATGTAAATTACGTTTAAAAACATATCGTTTACGCGTTACAGTTAATACTTTTATCGTCAAATCAAAGATTGTACTTCATAGCAATACTCTTTATTGTTCATATACCAAAAAAAGGCTATAAAGTTAAAAACCTTATCACTAAAAAGTAATTTATATCAGGCAAACTTAACTAACAGGACAAAATGTACCTGAAATTGGGTAGTATATGGTACTTTAAGAAGTCTTAAATTGGTCCTTCGAGCAGGTTAAATTAATTTTTTTTATGAAATTTAATAAGAAAATAAGGATTGTTGCAATTTTAATAATTAAATTAGTTACCCTTCACAGCACCAGCCCATCCCAGATGGCATACAGCGGCTAATATCTTCCATACGGCCAACTGTTCTTGTTCCGTCACCGCTAACGCTTGAAACGCTTCCTTAAGAGCTGCAAACTCTGTAGGCGCGTCAGCTTTCTCGCTGGAGCTGATGAAAGGGTTCGGCGCGTTCACTGGCGCTTGATCTAGTAAGAGCTCGCGACGAAGGCGACCATCGCAGCCGTGGAATAAACTAGACAAAATATTTGAGCAATAAATAAATATACATACATACATGCTTATAGGCCGCTGTAATTTTTATTATTTCTTTCAGCATTACTTTGTTAAATATTTGATTGTCAATTTTAAAATTATAATTTTAAACTCCATTTCTTGATTTTAGGATAAGTTGGTAGTGGTGGCTATAAGCTGGTAGTTCTTATTTTTATTAAAGTAGGATAAGTCAAAAATATTACAGAACTAGGAGTGACATGACGGTAGATGTAATTTTTTTTTCTTTTCACTATTACTATTAAAATATTAAATGTTCCTAAAATTGAGAAACAACTTACATATTGCCCAACTAATTTGTTGGCTATAGGTTTTGGAAATCATTATGTACTTTTATGTATTAGGGACTATTTTGTATTTCTTACTTGTGTATCGAACGTAGAGGCGTTTGACCGGGTCTTAGATCAGGTAGAAGAGTCTGTACTGATGCAGATACAAGCGCACCGCCGCCGTCAAAGTCCAGAGAGGTCAGAGAGACGAAACGAGACGCGTATGCATTCGAACTCGTGCTGGAACAAATAAAAATAGTTTCACCATGTTATTGACGGTTTTTTTATTGTTGACCATGTTTAAATCAATTGTTACGCAGCTATTTAAAACGTATCATTAAAATACACTAGCGTAAGTCCTAAGTGGATTAGCAGAGTAACAAAGTATATGAAAATCGCACTAGATGGCGCTTAAATAAATTATTGACTTCAAAGTTTATACTGAAATTCAGAAAGCATTTCATAGGATGTCGATCACATACCGACAAGAACCGAAGGTGTGCAGTACATCGAAGGCAGCATCAAACTTTTCAGGAGTGAGCTTGGATCCTTGGGCGGGGTAAGCACTGGCCAGGTAGTAAACGCAGTGCCGCATCGCCGATGTTTTACCAGAACCAGATCTGTAGAAAATAAAAGAAACACATTTTTTATCACTCGAGCTACCAACTGAAAGTTGCCAAAATTGCGGTGTAAGTACCTAACTTTTAGTTTATTGACTCCAACTGTCAAGGAGCCCTATAGCGCAGTGGTTAGCGAATTATGGAATTTAAGTAACTTTCGCAAGGGCCAGTCATAGGATGGGGACCGAAAATTTGTTATCTCAAGCTCCGCCGTGCTTCGAACGGTATGCTAAGTCGTTGGTAAGTGAGTGGTCTTGCATGGGCCATTTTCTTTAATCGATTCCATACCATCCATAGACAAAGCCTGTGCCCCAGCAGGTAATTCAACGATAGGTGATTCTTTGATATGTACATATTTAAACTTTGTAGTATAGTCGCTAGTAAAAACTGTTTGTCATCATTCTCGAGGTCAATTCGATATTCGATTCAAAATCAAGACAGGTATTTGACGTTTGTTGTGCAAAAAGCATCTAATACTTTTGTCTTGGGGAAAATTTAAAATGTAGATACAGGAATATATTGGAACAGTGATTCTGTTAAAAATACAACGTCAAAGCTATTTACAAATAAAATCTACTTCAAAAAGAAATAAAGATTTCAATTGATTTAACGCGCTACGTTCGACACGGTGTTTAATGCCGTATTTTCAGAGAATATCTAAACTAAGTTGGGAATGAAACAGATAAAAGTGATTGCGGCATTTTTCAATATTTAATATTTTCGGCAGTCTTTATTTTGAGGAGTCTTTATTTAGGAAAATGGTGTCAACAAATGCAAGATTAGAAAAAGGCCTTTTTATTTTGTAAATTTTTAGTAGATAATTGTAATTTGATGCGTGTCCCCTCTCCCTCCATACCATTTGCACCACATTTAAATAAGATAAAAAAACTCTTTGAAACAATGAAAGACAGCTGACTCTTTGAAAAGTATTTATTATAACAATTTCAATTTTAAAAAAATAGATAAGTATTAATTTTGTATTTTTAAGTAAAATAACAAAACAAAACGTCTAATCCAAATATATAAAAAAACAGTTAAAGAAATTAAAGTTCTATTAATCCGCATCGAAGTAAGGATCTGAATTTGCATAACACGAGAGAATAAGACACAGCTTTCCCTTACAAGGTAAAGGTGATTATTTATGGACATAACAGAGATTCCTGTGAATGCCGCTAAGCGCATAAATTACTTATAATCAAGCTTTGACATCAAGGAAGTAGAAAAGCTTAAAGCTCTCTAGCGGCCCAGTGTCTAGGTACAATCTACGGCACACCTAGCACTCACCATCCTAAAACTATCCTTAAAATTCTTACACTTACAAAGTTTTAAATTGATTGCGGAATTTTGCCGCGCAATTTTATTATTCTAAATAGCAACTAAATGTAACGCTGCACTTGTGACTAGGTTTGATGTAAACCCTGTAATCGACTACTCTCCGGATTCTTATCCCCTATCGCAACTGATTAGAACTTCATACATAAAATCGATGCCATTTCAATGGAATGACGAACGAGTCAATTAAGACAAACGACTTAGTTGTAATAGCTTCACTTTTTTGGTATGTATTGCGTATCTAGACATAGGTATTAATTTCATCGATTTCAATTCAGAAAACTATTAATAATTCTATAGTTATATCAATTTCTATAATATCTATGTTATTATCATCATTTAACTTTCACGAGATAAGGAGGTTTCTATTACAAGCTTAATTTGTGTTATCAGTTCATTATCTATATCTCTAACCCATTATAACCTGTTAAAATGGCACCAGCTAATTATTTAATATAATTAAAGACTCGCTTTTAAGTCAGTGGCTAGTTTGATAACGATCACATAATTGACAAGACATAATGCACCATAAATATAAGCCGTTAGGATACAAAATTCGGGAATGTTTTCATAAAACGTGCGACAAGGTCTATGCATCTTGTTATTGAGATCAGAGAAATCGGTATTTCGTAACTATTATATTAATGCAGGATTATATTTAACTTAAATATTACCTAGTTGCACAAACATCCATTAAGATTGTCATTAGTTTAAAGCAACATTACCGATACGAATCAAATTTAGAACATTCGTTAAACCTTAATCGATGTTTGTGCAATTGGGTGATAGTATACTAGATATACTAGAAATTTTTTTTTACCTTCCAAGGAATACGATGGCTCGGTCTCTCCTCGCAGCCAGCATGCATCGATGAGCAGACTGAGCGGCGGCATACACATGAGGGGGCATATCATCAGCACGACATCCTCGGAACATCGCCGCAACCTGATAATAGAAGATTTTAGCTTTGTCATTTATCCCTTATTCTCTTTGTAATAAGAGTGATTACCTATCATTATTCGCATTTGATTCTACAACCTCCGTATTTAAATCCTAGAAAGCTAAAAATTAACAATTTTTTTGCTACTAAGACAACCATTAATTAAATGACTTCGCACCTATATAAACTCTTTACGAATCACAAGAAAACCCTGCGATTTGCTTTGTCAACATTTCAGGCAGCTAGTTTTATAAAGGTAGGTATACCATCCAACTGAAAATTAATGTTGAATTGCTGTCCAATTCCTATGAGATAAAACATTACATAATTATAACTCGTTCGAATAACACCTGAGGGCCTTTTCTATTTGTCTTCGAACGAAAATTCGGAAAATTTCGACTCTTATAATTCTATTTAAATCATACCCTTGAAGATCGCCGTTCACCCTCCTTGCATCATCGAAAAATACATTTCTTTGGAGTCGTATTAGTATTTCGAAAATAAACGATATTTCGTTTTTGGCGAAATAGAATAGGCCTTCATGTAAAGCTTCACGTGTGTCATGTTTGTTCGTACAAGTTGTGATGCTTACCTTGTCAGTGTAAATAGGTGCAGTTCTTCTCGGAGGTCCTAAGACGAGTAGCGCGTGGCCGGCGCGAGCGTGCGGCAGACCAGCAGCGTAGCGGGAGCGGAGCACGTGTAGCGCCCCGCACTCGTTCAGGCAACGGAGGGACGCAATGTCCTCGCAGCGTTCCATTTGGGGTGGGTTCGACTGGAGAAACAACAACAAAAACAGTTACGGTTAAGTTAAATATACGTATAATTCACAGTATATAAAAAATAACTTCTGTGATATAATTTGTGGTATACCACTATAAATGTCTGGTCGTTCAGAATACCTCTTATCATATTCCTACATATTTGACAACTTCACTATTTTATAAAAAAATACTACGCCGTGTTAGATGCTGCGCTCAACGCTGTATTTTTAAGAAAACAGCACTGCAGTTCACTGTTTGTACATTTTCAAGTGACCTATATACAAAGGCATTAAATCTTAAATATTAGCTACATGTTGAAACGGATTAGACAATAAAGTTATATCAATAGAGGTTTTCTTTATTGGAATATTAATTAATTATATTAAGTTACGTTATATGATGAACTGGCTGAACAACATTTGAACAAAAGTTTGAATGAGATACGCGTAATGCAATAAGTGACATTCTCCCATAATGCGTATCATAATAATAAATACCAGGTACATTGGAATCTAAGTTCAAAATTCCAACACCTTTGGCGCAGAGAGAATAAAACGTATGATGAAGTATCTTACTTTCTCCAAATCATCTTCGTCAACGGCCAGCACTTCGCCGGTCTGCAGCACTCGGACCTTTACCCTGCCGGCGTCTGCGTCGCCTTCCCTGACGACAGCCGTAAAACCATTGCGGTGTGCTAACCACATGTGACCCGCTTGGAGCCATTCTTTCTCGCACGCCAATTGCTCTTCGGATTTAGCCTGTTGGAAAAAACGAGAACATCAAAATATGATACAAAAGCATTTTGATGGTAGATATTTCTGAAATGGCAGTAAAAGAGGATGTTTTTAAATCCTGATGACAGTGCTCAAAATTTTTCAGATGCACTTTACGTTTCTTCCGAAACGAAAAATGTGGGCATGAACTTATTAAAACAAGGACCACATAGTCAAAAGAGAATATGATTAAAAAATTGACGAAAAAGATGACGCTATTTACTACTAGATATTAAGTAAATAAACAAATTATAAATAATATCTGAACAAACGAGTCATATTAGCATCAGTTGGATGTATATTCGCATTTAAATATACCTACTATATAAAATTGCAAAACGGTATGTTATGACAACTAATTGACGTATTAAGAAACATATTCATAGAACGTCGACAACTCAAAAGGTACTGTAGACGATAAAGAAATACTTTCATCTTTAAAATTCATGAGATAAGACTCAATATCATACAGTTCGAGTACATGTAACTGTATTATAAGGTACAAGTCATGCGGAATCAATTATGGCATAGGTAACAACCATCTCGGAGATGTAATAGGACAAAGGCTCATTTTAATATTCACTTAACCACCATAAAGATCTCAGGTTTCGTGTAAAATTGGCAAAATTGAGTTTAATGGTTATCCGTACTTGATATTGTAAAGGCGAAAATAATTCCGTTTGGCTGTTAGGTTTTCGCTTGACGACAACGTGGCAAAATTTAATAGAGAAATAGTTTGAAACTAAGGAAAGGACATACACGTATTTTCAATAGTATCAATTTGTATTGATACTATTGAAAATTACTATTGAATATTATTTTTAATACGGTCTGAATCTACGCACATGAAGATTAATTTGGTTCTAATTTTATACAATCAAACTAGAAGAGATTTTTCCACTTTTCAAGTTTAAAATCGGTTAATAAATTAGGTATATAGGAAATACTGGCGTCCTATCTAACCATGTTTAAATAATCAGCCAGAACGAAGTTCGGTGGTAACGAAAACCTGTTACAAAACAACCAAACAAACAACCGACTTCCAAAACACAATTTAGCTAGATAAAATCCAGAATAAGAATCCTCGATAGGAAGGTTAACATTAGAAATTACGACATGGATATTTCAAAAGTGACTCGACTACTTAGAACCCCTTATCAGAGTTTTCCCAGAAAGCGTGAAGATGCGGCGGAAATAGGAAGAGTGACTGTGAAATTGAGCGTTGCGAAACTTGTAATTTACTTGCATTAGGACGGCAGGCATTATCCAAGTAGTTACAAACTCCAAGTCTAGGGGGCTTACTCTTAAAATGAACTCTCGACGTGTCGTGAAATTCACCCTGTTCCATTTCTCTTTTATCATCGTCCGCTCAAGAATACAAAGGAGGTTAAGTATGATATTGATGTTAACGGAACAGTGAGATTGGTCATCGAGGATAGCAGGGCAAACTTTTGAAAAGGAAAAGAATAGATAAAAACTGATTGTACAGGAAACTGACAATAATATAGTTTATAAATGGGACAGAAAAAGTATAACAGCCAGTTGCACAAACGTCCATTAATAATTTCATTGTTATAGTTTAAAGCGACTTTACCGATACAAATTTGACATTCATTAGAGCTTAAAGGCGTTATTAAACTTTAATGAACGTTTATACAACTGGTTGTAAGACCTATTACCAACGAGGAGTAAACATTAAACTTAACCGTTGAATCCTTTTAAAGTTGACAAATAAAATACACCCATTATATAATGATGTAAGATCTGCCACAATGACAATCAGAAGCAAACCTACAGCATGCCGAGTCAACTGTATACGCATGAGGAAGTCATACTAAATCTTCCTACGCAGTAAGTACATTACTTACTGCAACTAAATATGTACTATTTAAGTAGGTATGACACCTAAAGCTTACTTATGTATCATACTTTAATTGAATGACAAAAATTAAATGATTTTTCACTATTCCAATAAGGGTAATTTAATTTTAATTAATTAATAAGTTAGAAAATTATCTCAATAGGGCAAATTTTCTAACATATTTATGAATCAAAATGAAAGGAAATAATCTTTTAAGTGATGATATATTTTTCGCGCGTAGTGTTAATAATTTATAATTAAGAACACTTACACAATCTTGTTTGAAGTCAAATTTTTTGGTGACCATTGGTGACGTTCTACTGATACCACTGAAAACTACGACCATACAATTTTTGAATATATATTTGTATAATATCGACGAAACTAATCGCAACAAACAATATTATGCGACCACTTCAGAAATCTCTTGTGTACTAATAATAACAACAATTAAATGATATTTCAAAATTCTCCTTTTGTTATTCGGAAAGACACTTCAATAATAAAAGCTTGGCGTGAAATATGAGCACCCAATACTCAGGAGTCAACGATTGTCCACCCACATTCGGCATTCGACTCGAATGTTACTCGAGTATTGAATTTCAATATTTTCAACTATTTATTATATTTTAATGTATGCTAATATTAAAATTCAAACTTCACACTTTAATATAGAAAGTAAAGATTCGGTCGTTATTAATTAAATTATTTTCAAACCTGTATATGCCTTTATATGATAAAAACAAAGAAGAAAGTTATTTATTATTATTTTCATTAAGAATAAATACAAAGAGTCAATTAAATATTGATAATGAAAGAAATAAATGAAAATGAAAATTGTCATACAGCACATTTTTTTTTTTTATATTCCACACATTTTCCCCCGAAAACACATATTTAAGAAGACGATAAATCGAAAGGAATGGGAAAGGTAAACTTAATAGAATAGAATCCTGAAACACAACAAATTAGGGGTGGGATGTTGACGCTTTTTCGATCAACGAAACGAGACTCTTTATCGTTCACCGTAAACTAGTTTCAAATTTTTTTTTTCGACTAGTTTATGTCGTAGAGACGGACTGACAAGAAATTCTGTCTAAGTCAATAGTTGACGTAATTCATGGAACGGTTTTCAGAATAAACTGTTTAAACAACTTTGTCGTCGACCTGACGACGGTTCACTGAATTTGTGGATGGTGAAAATGAACTTCTTTTCATATTTTTTTCATTCTTATAATCGTTAAAGTTCAGTTAGACGATTTTTAATATTTTTATTTTATACATACTTGAAATATATTTAAATAAAACATATAAAGAAATGATCTCTCGTATATTAATTTTTTACTCTAAAAATAAAATTCATATTCAAAATTTCTCACTAAAACGCTAAACCTTTGTCAAGGCGCCGATGTAATAAATCAAATAAGCGTAGTAGTGTGATTATCGGCAATAGTATATTAAACACTAACAGAAAAAAAAATGTATTTATTTTCGTTTACTGCCTGCACCTGTATTGAGATGTTTATTTGCCTTTATTCACAAAATTATTTAAACTGATAAAAACACAATCGAAGGAAATTAAAAAGTAGGATACTACTATGACCATAATTACATAATTTGACCTACACCATCTGCATTAGAATCAAAAACGGATTTGTTAATTTAATTACAAAATTCAAATGTGTATTTATCCCACAAAAGTAATGTATTAACAATTCTATATCCTAAATACGTTAATTTTTATTTTTAACGTCGAGCAAGCGAGACAGATGGCACTCTGTCGGTCGCAAAGAACAGAGAGAAATATAGCCGCCTCGTAGGCACGAACGTGCCGTGATACTGTTCAAGCAACGCTTGTAACTTATGTTCACGTATAAACCAGTTTATCAGTAGACCGTAAACTAGTTTAGTTGATACCCAATAAAGAGTCAAAAACGGTTCGTTCATTCAACGACCATACCTACAATAAATCTTATATTATAATATTAATAAATATCGGTTGAAATAGCTGAACAAAAGTATCATCTTTGACCAAAGCTTTCTTCAGCTATGAGAAATTATTGTGGTTGAAACAAATAGACATTTTTTATGGCAACACACTACCAGTGCTATTAATAAACAAGGTTTAGCGTCAGAGTAAATTTACGCTAAAATTGCAATTTTAGCATTAGTTCTAGGAGTAAATATTACTCCTGTAGAACATCATACTAAGTAAACTTTTGCTAAATCTCTGTTTAATAATATGAATGTTGACTAATACTAAGTGCAGTCTCTGTGTAAATTTACTCCAACGCTTAACTTTGTTTATCAATAATACTGTACTCGATTAAGAATTTAAAATTCACTACATGTAATAATTTGACCCAAGAAGGATAAAACCTATTTATTTAACAAATGAGGCATTACTTGCTAATGCAAGCAATTAATGTCAAATAGTTCTATAATATTCAACAACATGTTGAACATCTTCATCACACGCTCCAAAAGTCAAATTGAAAATAAATCATACGTGTATATATTTTCAGTCTCAACTTACCTATACGGTTACAAATTGTATTCAAAAGAATAAAAGTGTTATTTTTTTATAAAAAAAAAAAACAAATCAATATACTTCAGATTGTTTGGTACGTCACGTCGAAAAAGTTTATTGTAGATACAATAATGTAAAATTCATTTACAAAATAGAAATGATACAAGTCATAATTACTTGAAGCTTTCTAAAAATATTTTACTGGAAACATGCTGCTTGGCCAAAAACGGTCCAAAAGATGTGCTTACATTTATCATCCAAAAATAATGATCAGTTCAGTGCAAACTACTATTTAAGTTTTATCAGAACTCGTCAGATGAAGGTCTTTAAATCTTGGAGAATTACTTTTGTATAATGTTCTAAGTGTAAAAGGTAAGTTAGATTATGAACAATACTAGAATGGGAGTTCCAAAGGAGTTTTCAATAAAATCGACATAGAAAGATGAAGCGTAAAATAAGTTTTAGATTTGGAGGACGATTTATACGTTCAAGAAACTGCTTCAAATCTATCTCTCTACATATATAAAAATCAATTGCTTTTCGTTTTTCTCAAACTCGAGAATGGCTTGGCCGATTTAGCTGATGCTGGTGTTG